GGTTCCGAAACTGGACGGAACCCTCCGAATTTTGAAGGAACCTTCCGTAATTAGACGGAACCGTGCCAAATTGGACAGAAACGTTCGAAGTTAAACTGAACCCTTTGAGATCGGACGATAACATCTTTGGGTTGACGGAATCGTCCGAAATAAAAAAGAACTGTCCAATATCGGACGGAAATAGGTGGAATTGGACGGGCTTGCTTCGTTTGTCCCACACTCGTGACAAAAAAAGGTACAGGTGTTTCTAATCACAAATTCTCCCCTGTGTGACAAACTAAGAAAAGAGGGAAGGGTGGAATACCTGGTTAGTTCTGTTAATCCTTCATGAGACGGCGGTAGCTGCAACAGACATCTAAACCACGCGTGAATTATGTCTCCGTCTATGTTCTCTGCTTGAATCGCCGTCGTTGCCGAAGAGCTGGGTAAAATGTGGCATAGGAATCGACAGCAAAAGCTGCAACCGATAATATTTCACAAAGCAGCGTTTAATTCGAAACGTCACCTTTTCAATACATCACTACGGTAGTTGGCTCTGAGAATTTAACGGTAGACTATGAGCAGTCTTCCCAATTCAGCGAAGTCCGTCGCTAGCCCAAAAAAAAATCAGCGAAAAAAAGAATTGTTGTTAGTGCGCCGCGCGGAGCACTGGGAGTGAGGTGCATGGAACTCAAACTCCCAGAGTTCCGCGCAGTGCTCTATTAAACAACAGTTTTTTTTGCCACCCATTTTTTGGAATCGCGCAACGGACTTCGTCGAAAAGGAGGGACTTCTTGAAGTATAATTTAACGGATGATCCAAGACAGTTTTTAGTTTTAATTGTACATACCTAGCGGACATTTCGTCTTTAACACCAAGATCCCGTAGCAGACTGGTAAACGTCACGCCAGTTACGCCAGGGACCTCCTCGGGATATCTTAAACACGCGTAAAACACAGATCAGTGAAACAAAGACAAAATTACTAACACGAGGGTATCAACTGAGCATGAAGATATCTGAAACTGCACTGATTTTCCTTTGTTGCGTTGTTTTTATTTGCATAATCACATGTAGAGTTGCCTCTGGTTGGGAACCGCGCGTGGTTTTGCGTGTGCGACCGGGTTACATAGTCAAATACTTAGCACATCTGAAGAATTTTCGAATAGCAATGTTATTTTTTGTAATCTAAAAACGCTTTCAGTGTCATAATTTAACGTAAATTTTATATGGCGGAGATAAATATGATATGCTCTCTGTAGCATACTTTTGTTTTTCGTTGTGCTATTGATTTAGGAAAATCATGGCACCTTTCCACATTGGGTACGAAAATAATTTTCAGGGCTTGACACTAACGGTATCCAACTAGCCACACTGGTAGATTTTCAGTTTTAGCAAGTGGTCTTCGATTTTTACTTGCCAGTTTGGCGAGTAAAAAACAGTGGGTACAGAGGACCAGTGGAACAGTAGGCACAGAGGACCAGGGAAACAGTCAATTATTAGAGAGATTAAGCAACAAGTATTTTTTCCCGCGAACGGCAGAGAGGGTCACGTGACCTGTAATTTCCCGCGTTTGCCGTTTGCCGGCCGCCGTTTCTACTCGAGAAGGAAATTTTTCCCGTTTGTAGGGAACGCGTAAACGTGAGTATTTGCAGCCCATTTTTACCGACTATTTCTACATTTTGATCGCTTGCTTTTATAGCTAAGCTTCGTTTATCATCTTACTTCTATATGAACTGCTTGTAAAGCTAGTAGAGTTCAAACTAAAGCGGAAAATACATTACTTCTTTGTATCCATTATTTCTAGTCGCCGTGAATAGCGACCGAGAACATTTGTTCTGCCGTGTCGTCGGGAAGCTTAAAGAGACGAGCATCGCGGACGGAACGGCAAACAACAAACGGCTAGCCGACGTTCAGCGTTCGCCGTTTTCGCGGTGCTTAATCTAACTATTAACTATTTCAAATCCCGCTATGTGAGAGATTACACCGAGTTCTGGTGGACTTCAGTTAGGATCCACCATTGAACGCAAGAGGCGTTTCAATAACTTTTTCCATAAATGGCTGCCGATGGCGTAATAGTTGTGCGGTGAGGCGAAACCCAAACACGTGAGCCTGCACACAGGCTAAACTGACAGCGGTAAGGGGTCTTACTGGCGGAGATAGACCTTTGGTGACCGCATTTACGTGAAACGTAATAGCACAACGAAAATAATGATGTATTGAAACGTGAACGGCAAGAGTAGCCACGTGACCTAGTTTTTCCCGCCATCGTTCACGTTTGCCGGTTGCGCTTTGCCGTTTCTACGTGAAAGTAACCTGTTTCGCGTTTGCCGTGTACGTGAGATTATCTTTGCTTTTTCTCTCACAGAGTAGAAGTTAAATGCCGGAGACCAAAACTATTTCTTGTCAAACAAGGGCCCCCTCAAATCCACCATGACGTTGGCTCATTAAGCAGCAAGGATCACGCTTTTTTACGTGAAACGTGAAAGGGTAAGCTGACGTTTGCCATTTCACGTAAACGCGGTACTAAATCTCTCTATTGAAACCTCTGTCACTGATGATATTGTTAAACAGTATCATCCGATTTAGCAGGCGCTCTTTACCTGTCGAGTGCAGAGAGTGTAAAGCCGGCCAACGTGTCAGCCAAGGGAATGGATACCGACTGGATACACAAAGCATCAGATGCTAGGTTCCTCACGTGACAAAATACGTGCTTCCACATCACACTGACAATATCTGGGTAACAAAAAAATTTAATGCACTCACTGGTAACGATGTTGCATAACGTTGTTTGGAAAAGGTCAAGCTACCTAACCATTACCTGTGATTTATCCATAGGAACAAAAGCTACAAGAAGAACTCGTTACTACATCAGGGCACAAATCTACTCTTATCAACATGTTTTGAAAGAAAAGAACAACAAGTACCTGAGAGCCCTGGTCTACCCCCGTTCTTTTGCCTGAAAAAAAAGTACAACGCGTAAATTAATGGCAGATCCAATTTCAAGCAAAATAAAAACATTCTAATCTGCTGAAGAACAATTGGTGCCCGTAAAGAAATGCAAGTAATTGTTACTTTTCACCCGTACGTTAATGACGCCAGAGTTGTCTGTACAAAGCTCAGTAGGTATCTGAGTTCATTGTCACGACACGAATTTAACAGGTATTGCAATCCATCAGCTGAAAAAAATAAAAAAACAAAAACAAAAACAAAAACGTGGGGGATGAGAAAACAGTTAAGATTGAATTTCATTTTGCAGGAAAAGAACGTCTTGTTATTTTAGTTTAAATGAGAGATTGAAAGTAAAGGCGAAAAAAAAAAAAAAAACATAATAAAATCAAGGCCCCATCACTAACCCTCGAAGAAAATGTTACACGTATTTCGAATTCCAAATTACCAATTTATGACTTACCAATCAGTTTACTTTCGGACAAGTCCTGTTTATTTTTGTGTTCGAACACATCCTGTGTACTGTCCAGATATAGTGTGATCAACTGCCAGCAGTTTTTATGACGAGTTTTATTTTGAGAAGACTCCGTGTATTCCCTACAAGAAACAGCAGCCACTGTATTTATCCCCATAAAAATTCTGTTCATGAATTGATTTTTCTTTTTCAAAAAGCCATTCGCTAAATCATATCCTCGTTTGCAAGCATTTGAAGGAAATATTGACATTGATTTATTGAAAACTGATTAAATGATTGATCGATAAGATTGACAGTCCAACCTCGCAACAGTGAAAAAACTGTGAGACAATCTTTCCGCCAGGTATCCAAAATCCACGTTCTTCTCCTTATAAATGAGCATCAAGGCAAAAAGCCCTAATAATGGAAAAGAACAAACATTATGATAGCTGATGACGATGAAAAGATACAGCAAGTCTAGATTACTGCCTCCCCTCGTCTTTAAGCCCTTTTTTCCTTTAAAGTTTCATTACTAATATCCTCACCTTTCCAAACACTAATTTTCTTGTCCTGTGCCATCTTGTGAAAGTCCAGCAAGTCAAGAAATGAACACAACTTGTTTGCCTGTTACAGAGAAGAAATTTGTGACTTCTTGAAGTACATTCATGCGTTGATCAACGGAGTGAACTAACTCAATCCTGGGCTGAGCTGAACTTCCTTTCTCAGGGCTCGACACTAACGGTAGCCAACTAGCCACAGACTAGTAGAAATTCAGTTTTGGCTAAGGGCTTTTGATTTCCACTAGCCAGTTTGGCTAGTAAACAAACTGAAATTGTTGTAACATCTAAGTTGTCACTAACCACTTGGCTAGTAAGTTGAAAAGTTAGTGTCGAGCCCTGTCCTTAATCACGCATCTATTCATATGGAAACACGTCCCAAGACCCCCACCATTGAATATTCAACCACCAGAGCCTATTCCTTAGCCCCAAATTTTCTCCCATGTTCAATTTACGTTCCGTTATATTTATCAACTTGCGCAACAAGAAGATTTGGAGTTGCGATGTTGCTATGTGATTAACAACTTTGACTTGTTCACAGCAACATAGCCGTTTAGAATAACATAACATAGTACGCCTACAGAAGCATGCCATAACTCACCACATCCTCTAGGTCAGCCACACAGGAAAGAGTAAGAAAAAGACTGATAAAGTGATGAAGTCCTGTGATGTTCAACTCCTCCATACGGCGCTTATGAAACTTTGAGTAGAACCTGAACATAGAATAGAAACGTCATGCTACATAATAGTCTGTTCACCGTGGAGAATACAAATATTTCCTATGATTAAAAATTTACGGCCAAATGCAAAAAAATGCTAACGGACTTGACGAAGTAACGAGCAAAATATCTGTTTTTATTTCACCTGCCCTTCATCTGTTTCCAGGCCTGTAACGATCCACTCTGAAGTAATTTGGCGAAGTGAACTGACACCAGCCGTAAGAAGAGAGTGAAACTGCATTCGTGTTCTGGAACAACAGTACTACTGTAGTAACAAAATGCTACGTTAGTAAATTTTGTTATCCCCGGGTTCAAACCATTTACTGCATTGGCAAATTAAATCGTAATTTTTAAGTTGGGATCGTGGAAAGAAGCCTTGCAGCATTTATTCCATATTATCTTAAAATACGAGCCTACGAGTTTCTACGTCTCCTGGTTAAAAGAAAGATTCAGCGGTAATTTTTGGTTTCACTTTGTAACCTTTCATTGAGAATACCTTTGAAATGATTTGGTCTTCACTTACAACGTCACCAAATATGACATCCGATGTAACATGGACGGTGATGAGCACGTTATTACAAATTACAAAAAGAAACATAAAGATACATTCAACTTTCAATGTTCGTTATTTGTTGTAGTAACTCACCCTCCTTGCGTTACCTTGGACCTATTTAAACACTGCTCCATCCACTGAAGAGAAGATGAGCTGAAAAAAGGTAGAAACACGTCAGATTCGCTTTCTAGAATCGCACTTTGAGTCTAACTCTTTGACTTTCTTAGAGAAGAAAAGGAATAACTAGAAGAAATGGCCTGAGGGATAAGTGAGCTGAAGCACAAATGTTTACCAGCGGACGCAAACACTAGTTGAAGTTAAGTGGATTTTTTCTTTGGTGCCTGATATAAATTTTCCATCAACGTTTACATCAAAACGCCAAAACACGCGGGCGTTGAACCAATCAGTTGATGTCACAGCGCACCGAATGTTCTTTGTGTTAAAGATACACAACAGCCTCAGATCACCCAATAGGGAACTACTTGGAGAAATACTGGAGAGTCAAGAGCTTGAGGTTTTACTGAGTATAGCCACAAACTCTTGACAACCACAAACGTTAGTAACAGCTCAAAGAAAAGGAAATATATCTGCTAACCAGCATATATCCATACCTGACGAGACCAAAGCTATGCAGAGATTGCTCAGGAATGTGAAACGAGCTATTCTTAAAAAAACAAAAAAACAAATAGAGATTGAGAATATCAGGTTGATCGTGAGTAAAAAATAATAAATCATACCAAAAATATATGAGAGAGGATATTTTAAAGCCACACTCATTTACACCAGCCAGGTTTCTTGAGTGGCGTGGGTGAAAAGTATGTGAGTTTTAAGCTTGGCATGCATTCTTCTCCAAATAATGACAAGGCAGTTTTTAAAACAAGTAGACTCGACGTAATCTGAGAACTAGACTAATTTGTCCTTAACAATTATACTTTCCAGAGAAGACTTCCTCGCATGAATGCAGCTTAAAACTGAACCTACCAATCTCTTGTGAAAATAATCCCACAGCCACAAAATGAGATCAGAGTTTGCGGACCAGTGATAAGATAACGAAACACAGCAGCGGAGAGAGTGGCGGCATTTAGATTCTTCATGATTTTCCTGGAAGGCAACAATTGGGAATGTTACTGCTACAACTAAATTGAGTATCGAAAGATCAAGAGGAAGTTTTAAACCAATAAATCATCACCTTGTTATTTAGAAGAGAAGCTTTAAGTAGATCTTGGGCCAGTACCCAATTTCCAGGAACACAACTCTATTGAGAAAAAGGAGAGTAATTAGAGATGGAAAGCAAATAAGCCGTGTAAAAGATTAATAGTAAGAAATGTACTTCTTTATAATCACTTAGGAGTTAAGAGCGCATTTCGATTGAGTATAATAAAAGAAAAACCAAAGCAGTCAAAACCGGCCAATCTGAACTAATGAATATTAAATAAAAAAGTAAACAAACAAACAAACACACACAAACACACACAAACACACACAAACACACACACACACACACACGTAGCTACTGAGAACTCAAAGTGAAAAGAAGCAAACCAACTTAAGCGCGGGAAAACATGTGCGACCAAGTCGCGCTTGGTTTCACTTTTGTGTCTGATTGGTTGAGAGGTTGATGCAAGTTTTCTAGACCAATCATAGAGGGTAGTGAAGCAAAACCAGTGTAATCTGGGGTTTCTTAAGACACTCAGTTGAAAATGGCTCTAATAGAGTCACATTATACAAGGCTCTATTATTCGTTGTATGATGATATATTTGCAGAAGCGTATGGATAAGCATCAAATTGAGAAAGAATGTGAAAAAGCAAGGAAAAAAAACATCCAAGTCTCAACTTATATCAAATGATCAGAATCAAAGCTCTCCCTTCCCACTGCACTTCTCAACCTGGGGGTTAGCGTGACGTCCAACCTCGTTCCCAGGGCCTTTTCCCTTAGTTGGGGGGGTGCTGGGTGGGAATAGGCCCTGGGAACAAGGTTGCGTGACGTCATAGTATTAGAGCATGCCTTGGTTGACGGTTAAGTACTGTGCTGACTCATCTACCTCTCCCACCCCTCCCCACCTTATTACATTTACCTTTTTCCTTTGTGAGTACACTCCTTTGTCTGTAAACCAGTAGAGAGGGGACAAATGCGTCAACAACCACCAACAGAAATTAACAGGCGTCTTCACTGTGAAACCTGGAGGAGCTGAAACATCCAATCCACATAGAAAAGGTTGGAAAATACATAGCTTTTGTCAGTGTCATCAGGCCAAATTAAAAGTAACCATAGAAGTTTATCAGATATAATAAAAAGAAGCCAATGACGACACCAAGAGAATACATTACTGGTGTCAGTTTTGCCTCTGATTGGTTCAGAAGATAGCCCAAATTTCCTTGATTGGTTACAGAGTGTTGTGAGGTAAAATTAATAAATCTGCATCACTTCCTGCTCCTTACCGGAAAAAGCTCTCTACTAATAAATAATTGTTTGCCATAACTACAGAAAAATGAAAACTAAACTGTAAAAGACTCGTAAAATCAACCAGTACTTACCACAGGACTCGACCCAGGGCTGCGCGGTAGAGTCCTGACTATCGGGCTCAGACTCCTTAGGATTAAGAATCTCTGACATGATGGAGGAAACCGCCGACCAGAACGACTACGAAACAAACAGAGATGCGCTAAAAGCTCTGCATTAGGAATTGTTATCAAATTTTCAGTTACATGTTGTACAAGAGTTATCCAACGACAATGTGTGATCAGTCATGATCACCTACTTAAGAAGCCACTCATACCTCGAGATCTGTTTTGATGCTTAGATGATCCATCAAATGGATCAACATAATCCACAGTTCACCCACGCAGCCACAGGGAAACGGACATACCTGAAGGACGTTTGACTGATTTTCCTGTAAAATAAAATACACCGTCAGTTTGCGTCGATTCCAGGTAATCCAGCTTTATCATGATCTGTGATTGGTCTAGAAGTCTCACGCCTAAATCTCAACCAATCAGATTCAAAAATAATACCCGACTTGATCACTCCTGTTTACTTGTTTTTACTTTGTTTTTTAGGTGATATTTGCCTTAAACCTGATTGGCTTTTGTAATTATGGTTAGTTTCGAAAATCAATCAAAAATTGCTTTTAAAAATGCAGAAACGAAGACTTATCTCGAATATCCAGGTACAAACCTTGTTATAGATGGAAACGGCTAACGTTATCAGGTCCCAAAGGAATGAAAATGTGTATCTCTTCAGGCTGTTTATTACGTCAACAAATTGATCCGAAGAGAAACTGTCGGACTGACCTGAAATATAAATTACCCAGGGCCCATCAGACATACAGGCTGTACACAATGGTGACTGCAGACTGACGGACCAAGCCCCGTTCATCAACCACGACCTTCGACAAAAATTATTCTACTTGAAACTTAGCTACCATTCTTTTGTTTTCTAGCTCTCCCCCCCACGTTACAATGTTAGTGGCATAATATTGCTCCACAAAAAGGAGAGAGGGGTGGGGATATAAAATTGTTCTTTTTCCTGGACCTCTTAAATCATATTTCAGCACTATCCTTGCGGTCTGGAAACTTTTTACATCAACGATTTCAGACAGCCACAGATTTTAATAAGGGTAAGTTTATAAAAAAAACTGTGGTGCTGCGTCGGTGGGGGTAACAAGGTAATTTGGTAATATCAACTAAGTTGAAATTGTAAAATGGCCACCGTTAAGAGTTGAAAAGCTGACGTTTCGAGCGTTAGCCCTTCGTCAGAGCGAATGGAGGAATTGTGGGTTGTGTGTGGGTTTATATGCAGAAAGCGGAGCTATGCTATAGGTGGAAACATGGCGATGAGAATAACACGAATAATCAGTGGAATGAAAAGCGTTCGTTGTGGGATTAAGAGTGCCGATTTGGAAGATAAACTTTTGTTCGAGAGTTTTGCGCTTTTCCGAGCTAACTAAATGGAAGGAAAGACCGTAGATTGCCATGTTTTGCTTAGAATGGTTAGATAGATTAAAGTACGTATGATGCACGATCCTCGCAGTAGATAGCGCTATTTAAGCAATAGCGAAAATCAGACCTGAAAAAAATCAGGCCTGTACGGGACTCGAACCACTGACCTCTGCGATACTAATGCAGCGCTCTACCAATTGAGCTAACAAGCCAACTGGGAGCAGGCCGTTAAGTTGATTCGTAATAAACCCGTGAAAGTGATAAATCTATGATAAATCTATAAAATATATGAACTTCATATATTTCATTGTATCTGATAGATTAAAGTGTCTAGCGACTGGTTTTGATGCGTCTTTGTCATTCCTTTCTATGTCGCGAAGGTGTTATCGGAATCGATCACCTAGTCGTCTTCCTGTTTCACCGATGTATAGCTTTTTGCAATAAGTGCAAGTTATGCAATAGATGACGTTGGCTAAGGTACACGTGAAATGATCAGTGATCTCAAGGTAGCTGAACACAGTTTTTGATACCTTGTTTCTTTCACCATTTTCTCTAAAACCCTTGATCTCTCGGTCGCCAAAACTGGCAGCAAGCAAGTTAACAACACAAACTTTGTTTTTGTGAAAGTTAAGCTGACGTATATGTCGTTGCCATGGCGGCATGAATAGATATAAAGAGGCAATTAAAATCGGTTTTGTTTTAGTGGAAAATCTAGCCAATAGATTTTCTTTATAACTTACGTGCAACGAGCTTGTAACGATACCCACAAGTTAACATGATTTTGCTAACAATTTAACAGAGATCTTCAATTATCCCTTGTTGAAGGTTCACTCGATTTTCTAGAATTTCCTTTGTTTAAAATCATTTTTTTAATACTCTAGTTACTTATTTCCTAAAGCATTTTCGTGCCAAATTTCGTGAAATTCTAATGAGTGGTTCTCAAGAAATAGGCATATTTCTAAGAAAGCAATTTTTCATTCAATCACAATTTTTTGGCTCACTACGCATGCGCTGTATTTAACTGGGTTCTTTCAGTAACGACGAAAAAGCTGAGAATTGCTGGGTTCTTTGCACCGTTAACATTCTAACATATCTTTGTAAGAAAAGATGAAAGCCCTCAATACACTGCATCAACTATAGAGAAAAATAGCACAGATAGTGCGGGTACGTGTTGAGTAAATAAAATGACCGCTATATTGACGGCGCGTTTGTTTTTCACAATCCTTGTGCGCGCGCTGAATTACATCAGCATAAGCGCGCGCGAAAACTGTGTTCAGCCACCTTAATGGATTATTTGGGTCCCAATATTTTTTCAGCGTTGTGAATGAAAGGAAAAGTTTTGCATCGCGCGTGAGCGCATCTAAAAGTGCCGGGTTGGTCATTAGTTTGTAATGAACTTCTGGCCAAAAAATTGCCTATGTTTTTGTCGCGTTTGAATGAAATGAGAATAATGGGATTTAACTGAGTGGTTGTGAGGGTGAAATGTGAGGGTAAATGGAATGCGGTCGGAATTTTCTTTCTGTGAAGTTTGTAGTGCTGATTGTCGATCAATAAGTAAAGGTAATCACATGATTTCGAGTGCAATTTGTAATAAATAAGCACAAGCAAATTTTTTCAAAGACTAACAAAATTGCATGAGCCCGTAGGGCGAGTGCAATTTGTGGTCTTTGAAAAAATTTACAAGCGCTTATTCATTCCAAATTGCACGAGAAAATCTTGTGATTATCTATTAATAATAGACATGAAAGAATACGAGGTAGCTCCTCATAACTACGCAGAAGAAAAGCGCGCGCATCACGTGCAAAAATAATTTATTCGAACCCTGCACGTGACATTGACCAATCATTCTGACCAATCAGAATGTCTGGTTTGTTTCTTTCTTTGCTCTGAATTAACCCTATTCTGCACTGAATTAACTCTTTTCTGCACTGAATTAACTGAAAACTGCATTCATCGTAAGCAATCAGAACTGAAAAATTTTTTCATGTATATTATTAGTTGGGAAACAGTACATAAAAAGTACATAAAAGGCATGTCTGAGAACATCTCGCGCATCTTACAACCCTTCAATATCCGCGTCGCCCACGAACCGATCACCACACTACGTCAGTTACCAACCATCGTTAAAGACAAGGACGAACCGAGGAACAGACAGGGAGCGATTTGTAAGATCAATTGCTCCGAATGCCAAGCCTCCTACATCGGAGAGACTGGCAGAAACCTCGCAACAAGACTGACTGAACACAGACGGGCGACGAGGAAAGGTGATGTCAACAATGACATTACTGAACATCATCGACTTACGAACCACAATATTGACTGGGACTCTGCGCAATGCCTAACCTACAGCACTGACTACTTTCAACGACTGAATCTGCAAAGCTGGTTTACTAACTTAGAACAGACTCTCCTAAACAGGTGTCAACTTCTACCGGCTCCATACAAACGACTCATTCACGACATAAACATTACAAACGAACCGAACAGAACGACCAAACTTTACCGACGGATCGAAACAGACCAATCACGACCGACTTACGCCACTTGAGTCTTACAGCCAATAACATCACGGCAAAACTGACCAATCATTTTACACGAACTGAAATAAGAACATTCTACTGACAACAGCTATTCACTTGACTCTGATGATGACTTTCGCACAGGTTGTCGAAACGTCAGTCACTACCACCGACAACAGTCCTTCTCAGGACTACACTCACCCGGACGATCACACTACACTTTCACATGATCGGTATTTGTTTCCCACACGACTATTTTTATTTATGTTTAGTGCCCTAACAAGATCATCCACCCATGGTTCAAAATTAAATAAAAAAGTAAATAACTTTAGTAAAGTGTGAATGTATCTAGCACATCTGTGTTAATTAGGCGTAGACCATTTAGAGTTTCCTTTAAAACAAATCGGTTCAGAGATACTTTCATTCCAGCAAGCGCAAGACCCAAACGCAAAAGCCCGCTGGCAGCCTATACAGATGGCGGTGGTACACCTCCGGTAAACGACTTTAATTGAACCCCTGAGTAGCTTAGTAGCGATGGCGTGCAACTGAAACGGTCGAAGGTTGGAACACTTGCTATGTTCAAGGCATGAATTCGAAATAATCGAGAAAACAGATCCACTCGAAAGTCAAAGTAGAGGATTTGAACGCAGGAACTGCAGATTTTAAATACCCGCCCTAAACCACACGACCACCCTACCGCCTACTCCTTAGGACCTAAAAGCAAAAATCTGATTAAATGGCTGAGACGAAAGGCCTAGACATTTTGAAAAAGTTCGCAGCATTGCTGACAGAATCAACATGAATTATAGGATAAGCCGATGAGACAGACCCAGACCAGAATGTGTCCGAAAATAAACCGCAATTAACTCACTAACGACTGTCCGCCTTCTTCAAATTAATAAATTTTAACTTGAAGTTCTTTTGATAAATGAAGTGCAAATCCAATATTTTTGGAGCAAATTGCAACTTTTGCTGTTAAATAAAGTTTGCTGTAATGACTTTGACTTCAAATAACAAAGAAGCCCTATATCTTTGATATTCATTGTTTTGCAGCGAAAAAAAAAATTAACTTACGAAACTTCAAACAATTTTTAATCTGTAACGAAAAAGGAAGGTGTAAGGATTATAATGCGGCGATGGGAACATGACGGGATATCACATGGTCAATCTCCATGCAAACTTACATGAAGGCAATGGCCACCGCCAGCTGTTACTCAAACAATCGACTTATGAAATGCGAGGAACAGAGCACTGACAGACAAATACCGTACAACACAGAGACTAAATCAATATCATTATTGTAAACCTGGCATTCCACAAGTTCATTTCCTATTATCTCATCACTCACGATACATTCTTTGCCTTCCTGGATGCAGACGGAGATATAAAACTCACGCAACGAAGCTCAAATGCGGTTGTGTTGAGCTGAATACACTCGCAATAGCCTGAGGGCGTCTAAATTGATAAGATATGATTTGAAATGATCTCTACTTACCGTCATTGACCTCTTGTCAGATACAAACTGCTATAAGCTCATAAAAAACGAAGATAACGAATCTCTGTTTATCGATCGCAAAAAAAAGGAGAAAGGAAGCCGTTGGCAACTGCGCTATTCTTCTTCTCATTTTTGCTATTCAAAAAAAGTGATTTTTTTTTTTTGATAAGGAGCCTAGGATCCTGATGTCATACATAAATAAGAGCTGGTATATTAGGCGTCGGAAGTAGCGTTCTTGTCGTTGTTGTTGTTGTTGTTGTTTTTTTTGTTGGTAAAAACATCATTTGTGGCTGTTTTGAGCAGTTTAACAATAAAAGACTGAATAGTTTGTATTTGCGCAACTGTTCAGAGACATCACCTGCTTGATCCTTCGGCACACACTGGACAGACTAAGACCTGTAACTTCTCTTCTAACATAGAGCTGGGGTGGCATCACAGATCTGGCAAACGATACCTACTAAATATAAAGTGTCTCCCTGCCAAAAGCTTTAAAAAAGAATATAAACTCTTCCTACTCATTGGCAGGCAGACATCTTGAACAACTTTAACCTATCATAGGGTTCTATTTTACCTATTTAGTATATGTGCTATCTCCTTAAGTGTATTTAACTTTCACCCATCCGTAACTGCTCCGTGGTAGTGGCCAACTCGAAAGCTTGGCTCCTTTGGCTACTACTCACTCTTTCCACTGCTTTGTGTAAATTCATGTATAGTTAGAACTCTCCTCTTTTTTACCTACTTTTTCTCTTTCTCGTTGTTGTATTTTTAGTAGAATAAGTGTGAATAAAAGAATGAATGAATGAATGGTATCTTCAAATGACAACAAATTCTTTTCGCTCCATCAAAAAGAAATGTAAAGGGACTAGAAGGGAGAGTTATAATCCGATCTTGGGATTTAAAGGATTAAGTCAAATTACTAAGCGCATCATTCTCAGGATGATAGAGATTAAATTATTACTAAGCCTCTCAAAATTTTGTAATCATTTGTAAGAGAGAGAAAAGGTTAAAGCGAATGCGTCTAAAAAGGCTACGGCGTTGAGTTTTTAACACAGAAAAGAGGTCAGTTGCCGCGAATTGGTCACACTTTCAGGTACACATTCTGAGGTGTGTGCACGAGGCATTTTTCTTTCTAAATTTTATCTACAGAGTAATGTCATGAAACACCAAGGTCGACAGGAATGTGTTTATGCAACAGTGCAACATATGGCTTCTCAATTGTTCAACAATTCAAAACAAATCTCTCGCATGATAAGATACTAGAGCGTGTTAACAATTCTTGGAAGCGGAAAGAGCAATTAAAGACAAAAACATCCGGATTTCATCGCCGGTGGAAGTTTACTTTGATATCACCGAAATTTGACAACAGTGTACAGAACAGTGTAAAGAACTACATACAACATGACTCCAATTTGTAAATGTGGAGGATATTTGGCTCCTCACAGAACGCTTAGTGCAATTGTACCTCATGGTCAGGAAGAATGTGAATCATTTCTTATCGTAAAGTAGCAATTTAAGTCGCTGTTCAATGCGCTCTTTAACGTTGTTGCAAAACAATACAGATAATACCAAGAAATCAACATTTTAAGGTAGCGCCCGATGTCGGAGAATTCTTAAGCTATTGCTTCAGTTAAATCATTTACGTTTGTTAAAACTCCTCATCAAAATAGGGCCTGAAATGGCAGATTCCAAAGCTTTTATGCTACGATTTAAATATGTTTCTTCCTCTGTTCTCGTTAATGCGTGAAAAGTTTTCTCGCCTCTGTACTGCTTATCAAGAGGGCGTGGTTTTATCACACGTTACACTGTTGTCGTTCTTTTTTGGTCATTCTTAAAACATCTTGAGATCTACTCATGAAAATAATACGATTATTATCTGCACATAAATGAAAAATATTCACCTCTTCCATCCACAAAGACCAAACAATTTATTACAAATGTTGTTTAACGATTACGATTTAAAAATTACAACGGGCAGTGGAAAAACGATTAAATTCAAATTTCGCCCTGGCGAAATTTTGACGTATTGTGTTAAAACTTATTAATTAATTTATGTCATACGAAAGAATCATAATTGGAAAAAAACGTCCTTAGAGGTCATGAACATGTTCCAATAAAATGCAAAGTTGGCAAGGTAGCAACTTTCTGATAAAGATTTGTAGCAACGAAGCCATCGCCAAAATTTTATTTTGAAATCATTAAGTGTCAGCAGATGTTTCAAAGCTATGTTTCAAAATGAAGAAAGAATTTTAAGCTTGTCACCAATGAAGCCTTGGGATACGGCGTCCATGCGACGAGCGACCTGGAAACTTCTTCCATCTGTAAGCTTCGTGTGAAGCATCTTCACCTAGCGAAGACACTGGAGGGATTCCTTCCCAATGAGCCTGCGCTGAGTTTACGAGCCAATCCTGGACATCCTGTCCTTGAAAGCCACTCTCTTCAAATGCAGGGCAAAGGACAGATGGGTGAAAATTTTTACCTAATATTCTGTGCGATCTACAAACAACCTTTCACCAAGAGCACGCAGACACCTCATTAGGGTAATTAATGAATGCGACGCAATGAAATGGAAACTGATAGGGTTCGTCGCCTTTTTAACTGGGATGAATTAAAAATTAATAAAAAGCAGCCCTGATGAGACAGAAGGGTGATAAAGAACAACATGTTACTTAGTTTTTCCTTCTTTCACCACCACGACGAACGAATTACCTGATCTGATCAAGCAATCAATGATGGTAGAGAGCTGCGGATCATTAAAAGCGCAATCTGCCGCGATAAAAGCACTTTTTGTTTTCATTGTGCTGTGTATTAAGAGGAAAATTAGTATTGTAGTTCCTTTCTTACGACTCTCAAATTTTCTGAAAATTTAATGTCCCAGACTGCAATCAAACCTCCGGTATAGTTGAAGGTGTTAAAATAGGCGTAAACTGAGCCGAAATATCGCACGTTGGGCTTCAATTAGCGAACGTTCCACAGTGTTTCTATTTTTACATGTTTTTGCAAAACAAATCTATCAAATTAACTCTTAACAAATATAATTTGCAGCGTCAGACATGGAGAGCTGTTTCTAAAAGGGGCAACAAGCAGTAACCAAAGAAAGCGTGATGCTTTAAAAAGCAGCAAATCCTTTCAATAATTCAATTACTCGTTTCCGTAAAAAGGAAGCTAGGGCTTTAATCCGGAGTTAAAGTAATTTGCGGTTTCCGATGTTGCGGATCAGGCAAAGACAACTATAACAACCAGGTGTAAAACAAATAAACGCCACAAATGGGACGAAATTGCTCCTGACGTTCATGATCACGCCCTTGTCGCGAGGTGGACATTCTTTCATTAGCCAACAAAGAACCCCATACTTCTCTGAAGTCAATAGTATCCGATTACTGAACCATAGGTCTTAAGGTTATCTTGAATGGGATATCAGGCCAATTTCCGCTCGGCGGAGATATAAACACATCCAACGCGCTGAAGAGCGCACACGAACAAAGCTACGCCGAGAGAAAGGTTCGCTTCTTAGGCAGAGACCGACGTTGACATCACTCCGACCTTGGTAAGTTTTTCAATATCCACAAGCTGTTGGTAAAGATTATTTCCCCTGGGCAGGCGTAAACTAACGGTAAAAGAGTGTTTACACGAGCACATAACTTTATAAAAAATTGCGTGTCAGTTAAGACAGAGTGCCAGTAGTACGTAAAGATGACAACATTGTACAGGTCTTTGCAAAGTTTTCCAGGGTTTTGGAGACAACTAAAATGTCTACTTTTCACACGTGAACAGAGTTTTCTTCAGATCTTAAAATCAGGTCGGTAATCCTTTTTTCGTTAAAAATATGTGATCATGTTAGGTTAATTAGGTAATTCAACGAAAAAAACTGAGGATTTCTACTTTATTAAGATTCACATTCTAACAGGCCCTATGAGCCAAGCTTTAAGTAATGTTAAATATCCATATTCAGTGTAGCACTTCGATTTGTAACCCGAATTCGAACGGGGAGAAATAATTCTTCCCACTGAGACTGAAAAAAGCATGGAGGTAACCACTCTGCTATAGCAGCTTAAACGGGGGCAAACTGGACTGTTATAATAGGTGGAGTATAAGTGCAAAGTTCTCATCTCACACAAGTATGTTTTTCATCGAAAATACTAGCTTCCTGCAAAAATTCTATCACATTTGACGATAGGGTAACAACTTTTCATATAAATACTATAGCCTCAGTGTTATCATATGGTGAAGAAGTGAAAGAAATCTCTCTCACCTCTTTCTCCCTAGCATGTTTTGAAAATCTACAACCGAGCATTCTTGAGCGGATTAGTAATTTGTGGTGGTCCACTAATCGAGCTTTGAACTTTCCATTTTTATCCAGCGTTCCTAAATACATCCCGCAGTTCTTAAAATAAGGTAATGCTTACAGATTTAGGACCCTTGCGTCATGGTCAATAAAATAATCAGAAGTGAAAAACAACGGCAAGGTACAGTTACTAAAGGAGCTTGGTTTCTAAACTTTATTAGGCGATTCTTCATCCTTTTCGAGTTGGTTGCGGCTTTCATTAAATATGATATCAGATTTTGGTTGGAAAAAAAGAACAATGCGTTCTCACGACCCTTGTCTCTATAGTCATTGCTAATACGTCAAAAAACAGTCCAGCTGCAGTTAATATGACATAAGGAAAAGTTGTAGTTCAGATACACCAATTTGAGGCCCGCTTATCTGCAGTTATCGGTGGCTACGTGGTCTCGTGAAACAAAATCTTTTTATCCCTTACTTTAATGCTGTTTTGCGTTTCTCTCTCGTCAAATTAATGAGGATGAAGATTAAAGTTCAGCCAGATTAAAAAAACGTTTGAAATACACGGATAACGATTGAATATCACTTCAAAGTAAGATTGCACACCCGTGTTTAAGTGATCTTTGCGCCTTTCGGCTAATAAGGAAAATCTTGTACATAACTGAGTTTCATTTTAATAGACGTTTGGCAAAATTAATAACTCGTAAATCAGGACCAATCAGATCGGCTCGACTTGACAACATACACCAGAAAAGAAAAATGATTTTAGACACCACAAAGCTACATTCTTGGTTCATTTTTAACATATCTTTTCCAGCTTGGAATTTGCACCAGAAAAAAAAAAACAGTAAAAAAGTATTTAATTTTGGCACTTGAGGAGCACTGAATGACAATTTCTTTTCGACAAAAACGAATGTCTGCCATGAATTCATGAAGAGGCGAATTTACTAATTGAATGGCATATTTCTGATCTAATGATTAGGTCTATGCGTGCGGTATGAACATGCATTCAGGGTGCAAGAAATTCCGATAATTTTTTAAGGTGATGTAGGCCTTCAAAGCAAACTAAGAACATGCAAAGCTTGACCTTAACCTGCAAAACAAACACGCTCTCACGGAGCGATTTCCAATGAGTATCGAAAGTAAATCATTTGTTTTGCTCCACTGCATTTTGCGCTGACCTCGCTACCATTTAAATGCAAAACTAAAACCAGTCCTAACTTGTTCGCTGAAGTTTAACGAGGTTGCTTTTGTTTTAAGGTAAGATGGCTGCTACAGGGATTGGCATGATAATCATATCCATAGCAACCAAGATATATACCGATCCCTACGGCCATGGACTCACCATCTACAGGCCTGACTGCCCCCCCGGGTATTGCATGCTTGGAGATTACGCGCAGGAGGGGGACATCAACAAGCCCAACCACGGTGTCATGGTGTGCATCAAGATGAAACACACAAAATTCTTTGCCAAAGCCAAGGGCTTTGTCCAGGTATGGAGCAGCGAGGGACCTGGTAGCGGACGCGGATACAGTGGTGATAACGACGATGAGGGGTCCAGCGATGGAAATGGAGGATCGGGTTCTGGCCACAATGGAGTGCTGGCATTTTGGAAGCCAAAAGTTCCGAATCTAAACTTCGTTGCGCTGGGTCATCTAGCGACGACGAGTTACGATCCACCCTCGGTCGGAGACGTGTGCGTCGTACACAGACTTATGGTCGATCAAGGAATTCCTGGTCGTCGCGTGTGGGTAGAAGAGTCCCGTATGGCCAGCTTATGGTCTCTGGCTCCCAGTTATTCATATGTAAACCTGGGCCTGTTCTTAAGCAGCGAGTCCAAATCTGCGCCTCACATCTCAGAGTTCTGGTCCTTGATACCCGTGGTTGTTCCAGCTCCTTTCAACGCTTCCTTGTCAATAAAGAAACTCAACAGAGACGAGCTAGCGCTCATTTACAAGGGTCACGAGTGCGAGGAGTCCAAGCGGCTTAGCGTGTATCTTCCTCAGGCCCCAATCGGGTATTCGCCCCTGGGACACTATGCAGAGCGCGGGTACAGTCAAGCGGGACAGGGAGCGAAAGTGCTTGTTGTCAAAGAGAGAGGAAACAAGGGTCTTCTAAGGCATCCGATAACTTACCAAGAACTCTGGAGGTCAGATGCCAAGAACAACAATACAGAGGCAGCAGTATGGCGGCCTGTGCCTCCTCCGGGATACTTCTGCCTCGGTCACGTGTTGGGCGTCGGCTTGGAAGCGCCGCCCACCAACGCCATTGTGTGCCTTCACTGGAGCGTTATTGGACGGGGCTGGCCTGAGCGAAGTAAAAAGGTGTGGTGGAACACTTGTTCGCACAAGAAGGAAGCAACTATTTGGCAAGTTCCTGGACTCGGAGACTGCCTCAGTGCTGACACGTTTGTGATTCACCGCGGCTTCAACAACCCGCACTGGGAAGAACTCCTTTTCCACTGTTTCTATCTGAACGGAGTGTCAGTCAGATAAGAGAGAATCATGCGCAAAAGAACCTGTCCAATTCTTTCTTGATTTAGCTCTGTCATTCCGCATCGTTTTCTTTCCCACATTTCACATTTTCAGTACTGCTGAGATGTTGTCAATCATATCTTACAGTAGACTAACTCTTTCATGGGACACGCGGGTAACATAACAGCATTTGTCACACAAAAATAACGCGTTATGGGAAAAAAAAACTGCACAACGAATTGGAACAAATTTCAGAAAGAAGTGTAGAATATAGGTTAATGAAAAACAGTTTTAAGAATTTTTGATTTAACAAGCTCGTAGAAATGCCCTTAACAGTGGAGAAGTAAAATTAAAAATTGAGATTTTACAGTTTTCAAGATTTAGAAAAAAATTCATAGGCTCCTAGAATTTTAACTTAACAGAGGAGAAATAAAAATTTCAAATAAAGATTATGACACGAAGTATTGTCAAAATTATGTTCAAAGTTCGTGAGGTGCAAGAGTTCCCCTTGCCCCACACCAACTCCACCAGTCGTTGATGATCGTTAGAGTTACTGAGTGAACATAAAACTGGAATGGTTCCCTTGCGGTTCAAAAACAAGAAATAAGAAATATTTAGTTCATTCTCTTTAACTCCCCTGATCCGATCGGTAATTCTCCCAAATAACTGTTTGCGAGATAACATATTGAAACCGCCATTAGAAGTTAAAATGTGAGTCACTATGGAGGGTTAGTTAATGTGAGTCCATAAAGAAATCTTACAGAGAAACCAGTTTGGAAACCGGAGTGAAAGGAATAACATAAATTTCCGAACAGCTCCACAAAATTACTTCTTAGCGAAAAGACTGACCCTACATTTCATCGTTTAATTGTAATTACATCAACCTTGAAAAGTCTCTTCCTCGCTATATAGATGACTACAAAAATTGTTAAAGGACATCGCAGAAGGAACAGGCTACGAAAAACAGAAATGTTTGACACAAGGCTCGTATTCTCTCGAGCTCGTGAAATCCCATGACTTTCCATAACTTTTTGATCTACATTTTTTTCTTTCGTTTTCCATGACGTAAAATAAGAGCAGATGGTTTCTAAAATAATCTTGAATGAGCTTTTACTGACGATATTTCCTGTATTACGTATGTCAGAAACATAATTTTCTCTTCTTTTCTTTGATTTTCCACGACCCGCACGTTCGCGATTTTTCCCGCCTGGAAAATTACACATTGCACAATTCCATAGCATTCTAGATTTCCCATGACTCGTGCAACCTTGCTCTAAGTTCTGTAGCATAAATACAATAGATAACACTTTTATTCTGGTTGTTCTTGTGTTCTAAGCGTGCCCGGTGATTCAATGGAGCATAGCTACGAACGTACCGACACACGTTCGAAACTAGTCACAGATAACAGGGCACGGAGTTAACTTTTGAGTCCACATGCAAAATTTTGCTAGTTTAGTATGATTTTTTTTTTTTTCACTAGCAAACTGGCGAGACCAGTAGCAAATTCATCGCCACATGCACTAGTACTCTTGAACAAAGAATATACTTGACATACGTGATTAAAATGATAAATCCAAAACCGCGAGGAATGACAACAACACGCAAATGCGCGGGTTTGGCAAAGAGCCTCGGTGTAATACCGCTGACCAGTGACTATCAAATAGCTCAGCGTCCACTGTTTTACTTTCCTCAGATGTCGTTCGTACATTTATTCTTGCGTTCAAACAGCTTTCTCTAAATGTTTGGGAGACATGGATGATTCAAGCTCGCAAACGTTTGCTAGTGGATATTTTTCTTACTCGCAGATTATCAAAATCACTCGCACTTTGCGAGTTTGCGAGCGTTTATTTCGAGCCCTGGATGGATAACAGTCCTATTCTCTCAACGATAACCATATCATTTTATCAAAGCAGCAACCGCGTTTATAGAGAAGATTGCTAACATGTTTTTTCGTTAAAATTCACCATTTGCCAGTCCTCGTGTTAAAGTTGGAAAAATGAATATTAATTTCCCAGCGCATCCATTGTATCGTAAAGATAGCATTTTGCGACAGTTCAATGAACCGTAAACGAGAAAAGGGTAGAATATTAGCATAAACAGCGTGTAATCTGATGCCGCAAGTTTCTCCTATGGTTTGGAGTGCGAAGAGAAACTGAGGATTCACATACAGTTTCAACAATTCTAGGAAATTCTTGTTAGAGGCACTAAGAGCTAAACACTAAAACACAAAGCCGTAGAACCGATTGTTTTCATTAGGCGAACACTCCGCAATATCAAGCATGCGCATCAGTCATGTGATTCCACGTGGGAAGCAAATTAAACCACATGGACTAGAACACTACGCACATTTGAAAACCTTTTGGAACACTTAGTAAAGTAACTCTGGTTTTCCTTCAGTACGCATAAATCTTTCGCCTTTTACTAAAGATTTCCGTGGAGGAGAACAGTTGAATGAGTCTATAGACTAATTTTTCGTAGCCCTGCCTTGCGGCGGGGCCCCTATCTAATAAACAAGAAATATATTCTCCTACCCTGCTTGTTCAAAATCAAAGATAGTGTTTGAATAGCTGCCCAGTTAAGCTCCAGATGGAGATGAAATAAGTGTCCTCCGGCTTTTAAACGCACAGGACCAATTGAATTCATTGGGTTTATCATGATAAAGGAACTGGGAAGCGAAGAAAACCGGCCGAGGAACCGTGATAAATCTTCCAGTTGTTTGGTAAGTTTTGACGGCAGAAGGAACCACTCGTGAAGAAGATTGTTACTTGGGACGGAATCTTGGATTGCGTAGAGATGACTGTTGACAAACAAAAAAATATATTTTCACAGATTCGAATCAAAATAACAAAAGTGGTGTACCATTACAAAGAAAAAACATACCTAAAAGTTAACAGAAGACCATTTCGAAGGCCACAAAATGAGGGAAGGAGCGTGCGAGACATGTGGAAACGAGCGCGCTGGTCAAGCAAAACACGCACGATTCGTGTACCACCGAAATACACGAAAAATTTCGCTTACTTGTGTGCAAAATTCAACAGAAATGCACAGAATTCACTGCATTGTCTTCGAAGCTCGACACAGCGGGAGTGCACATCATCTGATATAAAAAATGACATAATTAGCTTATTTCCTTCCAAGTGTGAAGGACTGGCATACTATCCAGGGGTAGTAACAATAATCTAAACATTTTCTTCATGCAGAGGTGTGGAAACCACCATAAGCTCCACCTTGATAAGCGTCTTGGCTCAAGTGCTGACTTAGCCCTGTTACCTCTAACTGCCATGATCTAATTTTTAAATCTCCCCTCTGACTGCTACACATTTCCTTGTAAATAAGTTACAAGAATTTGGTGTCAGATCAAGACAACAACTTCTACCTGATAAGTTGGTATATTCTCATTAGCTGTTTGCTGGATAATGTGTGGAGACTGGAAGGAGAAATTACATGTTCATCACTTGCGCAATTTTAAGGATTAAAGGGAACGCAACACAATGACTGACACCAGACCTAAAAGTCAGGCTTTTTACTGGGTGCCTGGCCACTAAGCTGAAGATCTTTGTTTCCAAAATGCTTCCAAAATTTGGCAGAAACAAAAAGGCTTCTTTCCAAATAGCAAAAGAGCTCCATCTGTGGGAGTGACTCAAGGGAACTAAAACAAACTGCCCCTACTATAAACAAAAATCTACCAGATAAAGTTGTCATGCTTCCATCATTTTCCAACTTGAAAACTTGCTGCCTATGAAAATTGCAAAAATGCTAAGATTGCTGTCACAGTAAAAGAAACATTTATATCTCTATGGTGATCTGTTAATCCTAACAGTAGATATCCCACAATATCTGTGACGTGTGGCAACCTTTAGTACCAACAGACAAAGTGTAACTCAATTAATCTCAGTGGAAAAGTAAGAATTTGGAGTTTTGATCTCATTCAGAGGCAGCAAAGCATTTTGAAATGAGGGGGTTTGTTGCACACCAAGTAAAGTGCGTACCCCCCACTCAATTTTCTAAAAATGTCCTCTGCATAGTTTTTAGGCATAAGCAAACTTCTTTGTAATTTTCATACCGTTCAGTGTATCCATAGTTGATTTGTGACAATTCAAAAAAAGGAAGTTATTGGCAATGATAACAATACATTTAAAGAGAGTCTCTGATTAAAAATTAATACTCCTTTGATAAAATTTTCTTGTACCAGCTCTGCAGTACAACTCCAGCATCATTCAAAACAAAAAATCTAAAGAAATGTTTAATTACCTCACCATGAAGAATAATGTTTCCATTTGATGAAGGAGAACATTGCCTGAGACAAATGTAGCTCCAAACAACTCGACAGTCTGGTTCAAGAATAACCCTGGATAAGGATCTTCCTGATGCAGAACCCTTCAAATATGAAAAGCAACTTAATCATGTACCCACATGGAGGATACCTAGGGGGGACATTGAGGTTTGCTGTGTTGCATGGCAATCTCAAATCCTGCCATGTATTAAAGCCCCTGTGTATAGCAAAACAAAATTATTGTGCTTATGTGGTTCCTTGATCAGCCGATCCAAGCAAAATGACCCCCAATCAGAGATTTCAAAAAGTCAGCTTCCTGTGGTCTACCACCCCCCGTAAGACCTCTTAACCCCCTTCTGTTCAGGCTGTGAACAGGGTCTCATGTGTGGCTTTTACCTTGCAGCACAGCTGCTTATGGAAAAAGTTATTGAAAACCCAGCCTTATTGTCCTTGTCACAACTAAATTTAGCTTTTTCGTTTTCCTGCCAAAAACAGCATATCATGCTAAACAGTATTTGAAACAAGTTTGTGGCCTTAATCGAAGACTTGAAACCAACATACTGTTTGAAAAAACATACCATGAAACAACTCAAGAAACCTAAATTAAAAGCTGATAGTTTCTAAAGAAACTGTTTGGGGCTGCGTCGGTGGGGATAACGAAATAATTTGGATATATCAACAAAGTTCAAATGGTAAATTGGCCACCGTAACGATTACAAAAGCTGACGTTTTGAGCGTTAGCCCTTCGTCAGAGCGAATAGAGGAATTGTGGGTTGTGTGTGCTTTTAAAGGCAGAAAATGGAGCTACGTTTTCTGCCTTTAAAAGCACACACAACCCACAATTCCTCTATTCGCTCCCACAAAGGGCTAACGCTTGAAACGTCAGCTTTTGTAATTGTTATGGTGGCCAATTTACCTTTTCAACTTTGTTGATATATCCAAATTACTAAATTAAAAGCAGTAAGTTTACTTTGTCCACAGGACATGCAAGTGTGTAGTGTGGCATTGTGACCTGTTTGGTTGTGAGTGCAAAACATAATGAACCCTATCTATCCCTCCTTTTATATTTTCAAGGATTTTTTTTTTATTTCACAAGATTCTTGATAGAGTACTTTGTTGACTTTTCAGCAAGAGTCGTGATCACTTAGTTACATGTTTTTGGGAAATAATGTATACAGTTTACACAGCTTTTGCTGCAAGCCAAAAATTCACCAACAGGTACTAAGAATTTTTTTCAGTTTTTGCCAAACAATTTTGAAAAATTAATAGTCAAGTTCATAAAATTTCAAGTTTTCAATTTAACTATTTAGAGCGCTTCTCAAATGGGTGTTGTAAAACCAAAACCAAAGTAATCAGCCAATCAGAAGAAAGGAAGATACACTGAAGAGCCAGTGAGAACTCAAACTAAAACCAACCAAACTGCTTGAAGTTTTCACAGAGCAAAGTAAAGCAAAATCAAAGAAAAACCTGATTACTTTTGACACTCGCTTGAAAGTTGCCTCATCAGTTTTACCTGGCAAACATCGATCAAAACCATATTGTGTAGATTTGAAGCCTTGGAGCCTTTAAGCAGGAAGAAAAGTTATTGAATAAAATACTCACGCACTGAATATACCAGTAGCTAGGTAACCATTTTGGCAGAGTGCCTCTTTAATTCTGCTAGGAGAGATGTGACCACTGCAGTTTAACTCCACAGGTTTTCTTATCATAGAAGCTGGGAATATCATAAAAAAAGGGAAAAAAAAACACATAAGCTTAACAGGATAATGGGTGAAAACTGATTTCCAGATAATCCCATATTCTAAAACAAAGCCATACTCCCAAAGGCAATCTCTTGTATCTGCCATGGTTTTCTTTATCCAAGAACTGCATGCATAATGAAGTGTGGGGATATCTTCCCTGGAGAATAATAATCGAGGCATTCTCGGAGACTGACATTATTAATTATGAGTCCAGAAAGAGAAGTTTTCTCTCTAATGATAGTGAAAATCCAGCCTTGTTTCCAAGATCTCACCTTGTCGTGACTCTTTCCCTAGTTGAAATTCATCTGTGTTCAAAGGAAAACAGTAATCACAATGTAATCTTGGCGAGCGAACTTGGTTAAAATTTTCGTTGGGAAAGATTTCCGTATAACCCCAGACTGGTTTTAAACCATAGTCCTGCAGGCAGTCTATTGCTTTCTTTGATTTATCCAAGAGCTTTAAGTGGAAATCTTGCCTTCCCCTGTGAACGGAAGATTAAGGCAAAATCGCCCCGCTAACCGGCTGTGTGGCTGAAGAAGCCTAAGTATTTCTTCCTCGTAAGTGGGGCGGAAATTCCTATCCCAGTTATAAGATCTCAGTTACTAACATCGCGATTTCGGCAAACGGGCTGACCCGCCGTATTGTATAAATACATCCAAATTTCCACGAAGGAGAGAATCGGAAGGCAAGACCTCGACAACCCGGCCGGCCCGCCTAACGACACTGTTAAGCTAAAACTGATTACAAACCCTACCTACTGCGTGTGTTTTGGGAGACTCTTCGATAGAGGTTCTTCGACGCTTCGCTAGTGGTTCTTCATGGACTTCGCTTGGATCGAAGAATTCATCAAATTCTAGACTATCTGGCCATTCCGAAAGATCTTGTAAATCGACCACACTGTGGTCAAATTCCATCATGGTTTAATTTTCCTTCAAACATCAAACAACAAATTACCCGCCATTTCTCATCTCTTTGTCTCACCCAGTCCTCCTCGCCGAAACCCAAGCTGAGTCCAGGCCTTTTCGATCTTGGCGAAATAAGAACTTTTCCGTCTACCTTCCATTGCTTGTAACTTCTTTGTTTATTCTGGAAACGTTAGCCTAGCAAGAATAGCTGTTGTCGAGACATTAAATAAAGGCGAAGAGAGATAATGTACCACAGATTTATAACAACTTTATCGTAATAATCAATACAAAAGGCTGCCATCAGAGAGGAACTGAATCCTCATGTAAGATCCCCCTTGTTTGGTCTCGCGAAAAGATCTTTTCAGAATCGGGGTGGGGATCAGAAGGCGGAGTGTGCAAATGATCAGAGCTTTTCGATATTTAGGGCAAGAACACGCTTTTGGTAAGTATATATTGCCCAGTCACATAACTGAGTCTCATGGCTTCGTATCGTATACGATTTCATCGAAAGAAATCAAGGAATTTTAAGACACGAGAAGTAAAGAGGATGAGAAAGACACTTGAGATTGATTCAGTGTCTCGCATGTAACTTCTTGAATTAAAATAATAGCTCTCCTTTCTTTATTACAATTTTTCCCGCCACTCATAAAAGCAAGGACGTGGCAGAAGGGAAATCAAGAGATTATTGAATTTCTGGGTACCTCAGTTCTCAAATTGAGGTCATGGTCATTAATGTGCAGGACAGAAGAGTTTACCTCTTAAGTCGCTCCGGTTTAAACAGGAGAGTTGGGAAGCCATCTCAGCTTTGTTATCTAACGCAGATCGTCGAGTTTGTTCAGATTAAAGGGCTACGAAAGCTTCCGCTCAAATAGATTCTTCCACAACCCACCCCACTCCCTCCCCTACTGCGTTTCGCTTTAAATTCCCTCATCCCACCAAGTCTCTTTTGCGGCTGTTTTTTCTATTTGTGTGTGTGTGTGTGTGTTTTTTTTTTCTTAGCGGAGGGAGCGTTACGTGACATCCCAAACAGCGGTTGCAAAGGTGACTTCTACTCAAGTCTCTCGTTCCTTAATAGAGGCGGTACAAAAACACAACAGATAGATAAGTATTTTCCTCTTTTATTAACCTTCTTTTTAATCACTGATGTAGATAGTACAGGAAAATATCAGGAAACTCACTTGGAAGGTATGTCGAACTGTGCGTTACGAATGGTTCTTCTCCCTGTGTACGAATAAAAAGCAAAAACGTTACACAATCACCACCCTTGCACCTCCAACCTCCCCTAGCAACCACGCCCCTAAAATGCCGAAACCCATCCAGTCACTTAGAGGGGAGGTTCATATCTCTGACGAGCGACTGACAGGAACTAGACCTCCAAAGTAGCGCCTTTCTAACCAAGAAAGAAATGGTTCAAACTCGAAAAAAATTAAAGTTAACCAAATTGAGAATCTCATGTAACAACATCTTCCGCCACAATATTTCGCAGCGTAAACAACTGGACCAGCTTGTAATAAAGACGATTCTCATACATTTTGCAATTTCTTGATGTCGGAGTAATCCACGCTACTTTGAACTTAACACTACTGTTCCATCGAGTATGTCCAGCGCGCCCTTAATGTACACTCCGAGGGTACATAGAGCTTCTTTAATTCATCAAAGTTAGCTCTCCAATTGGACTATGCTTCAGCACAAGCAGAAAAGGAGTAAAAATACTACATGCTAAGGGAAGGCTGGTGTATTCGGCCCCCAAATTCAACACAGATTTTTATGGGAAAGATTCATTAAAACTCAGAACTCAGAAAACTTGCTTGGTAGCATGAACACCCATCCCCACCCACTGATTTTTTTCCCCCATCCCACCAAAACAGAATCACACTAATCAGGTTACTTCAAAAATATAGAAAAGCTCAAAACTGTGAGAGGAAACTGGTCAGCTCAGACAAACAATTTGAACTTAACAAGCTAAATGCTGACTTGAAAAATTGCACTAGTCACCCTAGGTGATGAGTTCAAACTTTTTCAATCTTATTTCATTGACACAATTCTAAGAAGTCCAAACTTTAGTCATGATGGCACACTCAAATGCCAATGATGAAATGCCTTCTAAGGGTCAAGAGCAAATCCTTTCAGTGATCAAAGGTCTAAAAATCAAGCCTACTTACAAGCATGAAATATCAATTACCAATTTTAAGTTCAGAAAATAACAGGTTCACACCACTCAGAAATTTGTGACAAGCATCTCTTCGCGTAAAAAGTAGTCAACTGTATAATTAACATAACTATACTCTCCTCGACACCAAAAGACAGCAAAACGAAAACAATAAGAAACTCCAGGAGTTTGCTCTTCTGAATGTTTTGATCAGATAATCGAAAGACAAGGAACAGTCTGTTAGTTAACTGCAACAAGCAAGCTTATAGCAGAATGTGCAAACATGCCTTAAAACGACTCTTCCAAACCAAGTTGCAAGAACATGGAACAAGTTGGACACAATTTCCCATTAACATTTCCTCACATAGTGAGTATTGCTACTACATTTTATGCTTTGATTGGAAGATCTCTTAAAGTGAGGGGTTAGGGTTAAACTGCCCAAAATGATAGTTGTTAAGTGATACATGGAAGGTAGGATGCACTTTAGTGAGGCACCTGTGTATCATCCACCCAACATGCAGATAGCACAACTAACAGAAATAGCACAGTCAGTTATGAGGTTTGAAAGAACACTGCTTAACTTTTTTGCTGCCCTTTCTACGCTTCACTAGTATTTCTCAAAGTCAAAGGTATCCTTCCACCCTTTGGTGATATTTGCATTTGGTTTCCCAGAATATTTGTTGGAAAAAATTACTATTTTATAGTAAAATAACAAATTGTGGCAAAAAAAAAGGGGAACGAATCTTACGTTCAACATTAATTGATGAATGAGAAAGTACCAAAAGGAAATAAATGAACAACTAAGGGGAAAACAAGGATGATTCAAAGTAACACGAGAGGTAAGATCAACAACAACAACTGCAACGACAACAACAAACAAACAAAAATAGCATAAAGAGACCAGACAGGTCTTAATACTCACCTTCCTACCTCTGGAAATGTACAATTTTCATTTTTCAATCAAGATTCAAATTTAAAGGATTTTCATTTTTTTTACTTTGGGTGAATTCAGTGGGATTTTTTGCACAATCAATAACTTGACACTTAAATTTTAGCCAGCGTTTTCTTGCCAGGCCATTTTAGATAATGTGTTTTATTAGCAGTTTTAATCCTTCTGATAAGGACTTCAATCAAACAACTTTACAAGCCCAAACAGTATGTTTATCTTCCGATGACCAAATCACACTGAATATTCAATGGCCAAAAGGCACTGCCATTTGAACTTCCAAAAGCAATGTTTCATTTACTAAAAAAAACTAACTGCAATGAACTTTACTACGCTAAAAAGCAGAGATAATCGATACAGTGGTTCCATATCATCTAAAAGTTGCTATGTCCAAAAGCAATCAGCATAGTTTATACTGAATTAAAAGAATCTAAAAACTCTTTCGAGACAGCTGTGTCCAATCGCATGTAAAAATAAAATGCCTCACATACTGGCACCACACTGACCAAATTGTGTCACTGCTTCCAAACTGAATCACCAACTAGACAAGTCTAGATAGAACAAGCCAAACAGCTCTATATACAGAATGTCGAATTTAGCCCATTTCAAACTTAAAAAACCGAAACAAACAAAGAAAGGCCGAGTAATGGGTTGCCAAATCAGAATCAGTCATAAGCCAAAATATCTCCAGCTGGTCTACCACCCTTGCCAGTTACTGTCACTATACCACTCCTGGTTTGATCCTTGGTTGCCATAACCTCCTTCATTGTACAGTGGCTGTTGAGCAATTGGCTGACTTCCCCATCCTCCACCTGATTGGTTCTGACCCATATATCTGCGTTTGGTCTCGGGGTACTCCACTGTTGCCTGTGCATCAGCACCATACTTCCTTTTACCAGGGGCTACACCTCCTCCTCTGGGTCCACCTCTCGGAGGGCCACCTCTGCCACCACGGGATGGACCGCCACGGGGACCTCCCCTTCCCCCTCGATCACCACCTCTTCCTGGAAAACCACCACGACCTCCACGGGGAGGTGGGCCACTGCGCCCACGGGGACCGCCTCTTGGACTCTCACTGTAGCGATCATAGCCACCATAGCCATCATACCCACTGCCGCTGCCACCACCACCACCACCGCCATAGTAATCATCATAATGGCTGTCACCATAACTCCTATCACCATAACCGCCACTGGCACCATAGCCATAACCACTACCATCATAGTAATCATCATAGCCTCCATCGCTGTATCCATACCCATCTCCACCACCATATCCCCCTCCATATCCCCCTCCATACCCTCCACGGCCACGGCCACGCCCAGGAGGGCCTCCACCTCGTGGACCACCACGGGATCCTCGAGCACCAGCATTCATGGAACCATATCCAGACTGGCCTGCACGCTTCCTGTCTTTGTTTGATGGCTGAGGCTTGGCCAAGGACACCTCTAGTGTTACACCATCCATTGTAGAATTGTTCATTGCTTCTATCGCCTTGATTGCATTTTCACGCTCAACAAAATGGATGAAGGCATAATCTTTGAGTTTCTTGACTCTTTCAATTGTGCCAAATTCTGTAAACTTTTCCTTCAACTGCTCTTCAGTGACATTTGGAGTCACATTTCTGACATAAACAACTTTAACCTACAATCATAATCATCAATTAAATGTAAATGCATAAACAAGTAAAACCAAAAACTTACATGAGACCAGACAAACATCAAAGCAGCCAAAGCAATTATGAATGTCATACAACAGAAATACCAACAAGCAGAATAATGGCACTACATGTCAAAATAAATTCTGGTACACACTTAATTATCACTGATAACCTAATATATGAGAATAGTCAACTTGACATTCTTTTGACAATAACAGTTCCTAATCTACCTGCAATCTTGGTATGTGCAACATTCTCCAGAAAGTTAAAAAATTCCATTGTCAAAGGTCACTGAAGTGTGTTACAGTTTGGCCTTGCCCCTTCAGAGACATGGGCAACTTATTGTGATTGACTAATTATGTACAAATATTCTCATTTGTATCCCCTGACAACTTGGCAAAACTGGACAACAATAAAATATCAACTTTTTTGCATAATAATCATTAAGATTCTCTCTCATAGGAGCACAATCATGTTTCACAGGAAAAGTTAAAGCTTCATCAGTGCCTCAAGCCAGCATGTTTTGAAAAGCCAGTGCTTTTTTCAGAGTCATTGAATCCCTTTCTGACAAGCTTGCCTGGCTAACATACAAAGGAGAGAAAGAGGGACCATTGACCACTTTCATAAATGGCTGCTGGATTAATATTCTTTTGTTTAAATTTAAATTAGCCTTTCTGGCCTCATTCTCCAGTTCAAAATTCAAAAGAATACATTATCTCAAGCGAGGCTAGTGAGGCTAATTTGAATTTAAACAAAAGAATATCAATCTGGAAGCCATTTATGAAAGTGGTGTATTGCACTTCGCATTTGAATTCACTGTCCTCTCTCTCCTACACAACACATATTGGCCACACAAGTCACTGTATCTTTAGTTTTAAAATAAGATTATTTCATAGAAACTCAACATTACTAAAATTTACTAACCTTGGACATAACATCTGCATCAGGTTCTTCCTGAGGGTCGGCCCAGTCAACAGTTGGGGTTATGTTGCCCCATACTTTCACTCTCCCACTGGAGAGTCTTCGCCGAGCAAGAGATGCTGCCTGGTGTGACTCGTACTCTAGAAAGGCAAATCCCCTGTTCCTGGACTTGTTTTCTGCTGACATGTACACAATAACATCTGTCAGCCCTGTTGTGGCTTGACTGAACTCTTCCTGGATCTCCTGTTTATTCTTGTTCTTGGGTATAGAGCCCACAAACAAACGGTTATTTGCCACAGAAAGGCATACTCCAAGCCTTCTACCAGGTCTGATTTCTTTATTGTCGAGCCTCTTGGTGGCATCTTGTGCTTCATCTTTAGAAGAATATGTACAGAAGCCATAGCCTCGGTTCTGACCTGACAGAGGGTCTATCATTAGACGAAAGTCATAGATTTTGCCACACTCTTCCAAAACAGGAATAAGTTCATCTTCAAAGCAATCTCGGGGGATCTTGCCAACAAACACTTGGCAGCAAACTTTCTGTGGACACAAAACATATTCAAACTTTCAATTTTAAATGTACACCACATTTGGCCACTAGTTTGCCCATACATATATTCATCTCACTTCAACATCCAAGCAACATAGATTTGAATGACAGTATGTGAAGAGTCAGTTTGGCAATACTTCTTTCATATGCCCAACTAGTTTGATTGTCAACAGTTTTAATAGCTATTAAAGCCAGATTAAAAAAAAAAAAACACACACACAGATGCAAACTTCCAGCTGTATTTTTTCAGGGGCGTAAACAACACTGGTTCACCGACGAAAAAAGGTTGAGTTTTAAACTGAATTCTGAACGATTGACTGCAAATTAAAGCTATGTGAAAGAAATACCAAAAATATTTTCAAACTCAAATAAAAATTATACAAGTAAAGAGAAGGTCTTAAGAAAAGATTTCTTTCATCGTTTACTTTTTAGCCGGCGAAGCAGACACAACCAGTTGGCGAATCGACCCGAGTTGTCGACGAAGTGGAAGTACGTAAGCGAACCCGCACGCCAGCGGAACGACCATAGACCGTATTTTCTACTAATAGCACGCGCGATTGAAAAAATTTGTTGAAATACCTCGCTGCCTGTCCCAGGAGGAGGGCCTTCCCAGTTTGGCGGTGGGCCACCATATTTCCGTTGTCCTGTAGTGATATCCAAAGTGTACCCTGTACTGTCTAGCAAAGCTTTGATCTTCTCTTCGTCTGGGCCACTCAAGGTTTCGTTTCCGGGTGTTTGTCCGTGAGCCTTCTGACGGTTTTTCTCGCGGTATGTCTTCATTACTCCGCAGAGGAAAGCACTCTTGTTTTGCACATGGGACAGATCGCTGTTTCCGAACTGTTCTAAAACTTCGAGAGCGCCATCTTCATTGAATTCTCGTAGAGCGTCTAATGCTCTGTCATCGAGTTCTGCAGGAAGCAACGCGCCCGTGGCAAAGATCGCACTGACTCGCTGAGCCACTCGAACGCTCAGCCCTTGGCCAACAAGTGTCTGTGCATCATCTGATAATTCTTGCGTTGATTCCATTGCAAGTTCGATTTGTAAATTTACTGACTCAAACCCAAAACGCTTCAAATCCGAGACGCCGAAACAACGTGGTTTGCGAATGTTTGAATGGTATCTTGGGGGTGGACCACGAAAGTAAGCAGGTTCTTTCAATCGATAACGACTCGGCTGTGACTTGGGAACTCGATTGAAACGAAGACAGTGCATAAACATTTCGATTTTTTGAGCAACTAAAGTATAAAATGTGGCATATAAACTTTGCAGGAACAGGCAACCTCCTACGTTCACTTTTTTCGTCTCTTCAGTCCTAGATTTGGAAACTCTTGAATGGACAATTTACTTTATCAACTCAGTTGATAAAACCAAATTACTTAGTAAATGAAATTACGCGCTCTGCGGCTAAATCCCAGTTATAGCTACCCGACTGTACTTTCAGTCCGAGGAGTATAAAAAGCCAAGAAGAATTAGGATTTGTTCAGACCATGAAATATGAATATACGAAGGCGCCATAGCCCCCCAATTTTCTTTTTACTTTAAAGAAATTTCATTGTTTTACTGATCATCACAAGGAAGGAAACATCGCAATCAAACAAGACCTCGCAATTCTGGGTTTTTTCTTTCACTAATTTAATTTTACTCGCGAGACGGACTTTGCCGTAAAGGTAATTTATAATTTACAAATAAACATTGAAATAGCTCTTTCATTGATCTCAACAAAATTAATTTGAAATAGTTGAGCCAAGATCCTCGTCTATGAATATAAATCGCTGTGTAAGATGTGCGGTCGAGAACATGAAAAATTGAGCCTTGACTCAGTAATGTTAGCGCGCCGCGGAGCTCTGGGAGTAAGGCCCGACTGACGTGTGATGAAAAACTTAAGTTTCCCTTGCAAAGCAGGGGCGGATTCAGTAATTTTTGATTGGGGGGGTCCAAACTTTGGTTCAGAAATTAAGGACTGTTGGACTCTTTTGAGGCATATTACTTCTCCCCCACATCCCCTCCCACCAGTCGCCGTTGCTCGTTATAATTCCTTGGCCGCTTACCGTTTACTTGGATTCATTAAAAAGGTCAGCCATTTAAAAAGTGATAGACGATCCTGTCGATGTAAGAATTTCAGTTTCAAAGTTGTAAGCGTCAGGTCTGTTAAGGGGGGTCCGGACCCCAGACCCTCGCCCTGGATCCGCCACTGCAAAGTGTGATCGGCAAATCATGAAAACTTGGAGGCATATTTATTTTTCTTTGAAGAGAGAGCATTTTACAGTTTGAATAAGAGAATTACGCCCAATAGATCCGAAAAAATATTTTATTCAGTTCTTGCCATATCACTGCAAAAAACGATAACCAGCTCAAAATAATTTTCAATCAGTTCAGAGAATTTGTTGCTGTAGAAAGATAATCCACGTAGCCAATAAAATCAATTAAGAATATGTTTTCCTGAAAACTCCCCCTACTCTCATTGAAAGGAAAAGTTACTTGTTATCACTTCTTCGAGTAATGAGGAAGGAGTAACACACTGTAGCGAGTTGATTGCTTAGCCAGCCCTTGCTAAAGAATTACCAGACACAAAAAAAAATTTTTCAAGTTCCTTTATTGGTCATAATGTCATATCCTTTTTCAATACCATTAGAAAGAGTGACTACCTCAAAACAGTCCATAGGCTGCTCTCATGAGCTTAATTCCCATGTACTTCTTTCCACAATAGTCCATTTTTACAGCTGTGTGCTTGGTTGCCAAGCCTTTGAACGGGAGTGAGGCTAGGGGTGACCTTGTTATGATACAAACCTTGCTGCCTTTCAAATGTAAATCATTTTGTTATCATGCTAACTAGATACTGGTCTCTATCGTGACAAGGTCACCTTCAGCCTCACTCCAAATCAAAGGCTTGGCAACTAAGTACACAACTGTAAAATGGCCTATTCTCCACTAAGGAGAAAATCATAAATTCTTTTTCGTTAAGTAGAGTTTACGCTGTCTACCTTGTTGCAAACAACTTGTGATGGCTCTTTCCTCTATCAAACGTCGTATTTACGAGGGCGCAGCGGCGCATTCTTGCTGCCGCACCCAGTTTATATGACCGCTCCATCGCTGCCGAAGCGAGAGCAGACACGCTTGCACCAAACGTGCAAACCAGCCCTATTTAATTGAGCTTGGCTTGGATTCCGAAACCATGTGTTCCATCAAGGTGATCCAGCCCACCCAACAAGTTCTTGTTTTCTGTGATAAAGTTAAAAGAAAGCTCATTTCAAACAAACAAGCAGAGAAAAGTTACAAAAAGGTTAACTGAAAGAACACAAGTCATTAGACATCAGTACACGGATAAAAAAAAAAGTTAAAATTCCATTAATGCAAGAAACGCCGTTCATGTCTCTACCTGCAAAAGAAATTAAGTTAAGGTAAAACGCATTCATCATTAATGCCTTATTGAGCCCTGCTCCTAGACTCAATTGTTCCTACTGTCGATGAAGTCGGAGACATGGACGGAGCCGAGCGTTTCCGATCTAGTAAAAACTAAAAATATGGGTGAAGTGGAGTCAAGCTCAACGGAATCACAACAGTTTCATTTTTCTTCCGATTCCACTTATGACTCCGATCTTATGATCCAGTGACAACTGGATTGACGGAGTCGCAAGCAGAAGCGGAAGAACCAACCAAATACAATGCCAGTTTTCAGGCTTTTTAGTAGAGTCTTACGCTTACGACAATTCCGTTTTCACTGGACCGCAAGCGACGGATTCGTAAGCGCATGCCATCGACATTTTTCTCCCAATTTTCAATTGATCGTGTCGTTCTGCGCTTCTGATTACGACTCCGTCATAATTGAAAACAAGCCTTAAGTCTTCCGTATACAATTCCATAATATGATTTTACACGAATAACGGTGAACAGCAGCCTGTGATTAACACTGCTGGCTTGCTTCACTCAATATGTTACCCCTTTGTAATCAGAACCCGCTTGAGCAAAGACACTTTAATGTTCCCCTACTTTGCTTGAGATTGTTATGAGGGCTTTTCATTGTACAATCAGACGATTTTTGACGTTATTGACAACCGGAATCTTTACTACTAGAATCTCTCTTCCCTCTTTACGATATCAAAGGGCGACTCCCTTAAAGGTCAGTGTATCGTAGAGGAAAACGGTCGGTCCTTACTGCGTGCCTCACTCTGTCAAGTCCAGTCGCAGTATCCTACCTCTACAAAAAAAAAAAAACAACAAAACAAACAACAAACAAAAACAAAAGACAAACGGACAAGTGGTCAACCACAGCGAACGCTCCATTCAAAGGCCGCCCGTTTAGAACCACTTCTACCCGATACAAAGATTGCACGAGCCTTTTTTCAGCCGGAAGCAAAGCTTGTAGCCCTTAAGTGTTCCCTTCATCGGTATTTCAAAGGAGGCTTTCCTGTACATTTCTTTAGAATTTAAGGGATAGGGTACATGTCCATCACTGCTTTCCAAAGAGATAGATTCTCGAGACGAGGCTCAACTGACTAGTAAACCTCTCAGAAAAATCCCAGCGCATGCTTTCCATTAAAGTCGGTTGAAACGATTCAGTGGACAAACTTGAGTGAACTGTGTAACTTAGACTAAGCGTGTCTTGATTCCCAGCCTGGGCTACGTTCGTTAGAGGGGATTAGCGCGGGACAGATGCAGCAGCGCCGAAACTCCCCCTCACAACCTCTCGCACACACGCACTTCTTTGATCTGGAGAAAGTTACCTGACGAGGCCAAACGATGGGTGTGTATCAGGGCAATTCCCACCCATGCACTAAGTCCCAGGCTACTTTCTCCCAATATGACGAATTTTAGCCATATGATTCGCCAACGTTTTCCAGCTAGGTGTTTCTCGTTGGCTAGAAATCTGAGACGATAATTTCCTTAGTCATAACTAGCGTTTACGATGTTAGGCCAACATTGCCACAAATTTCATTTTACCCGAGTTAACTGGAAGTAACAGATCACCAGGGCCCACAAGAATCCGTTTGACGTATCTTACATAGCTCCAAATTAAAGCTAGAGCGCAAATATTCGCATAAGCTGTGAAGTTGAGATTGACAGTGCGAGGTACTATCGTTCTCGTCGCTAATTGGACGAATGATGTATTTTCACAGTTGTTCGCTTCCAATCTTTGAAATAGTTCATCATTAAGAAATTTATTACTATGTATGAAATAAAAACATAATACCATGGAAACTGTTTGAACGATTTTAATTCACTAGTTGCGATGCATTAAACACCTCACTCGTTCCCCGTGCTCATTGTTGGTTTTTTTTTTAATGCATTCCAACTCGCGAGTAGATATCGTTTGTGCACACTTTTCTCGGCATAAACTCTCTTGTTATTCTTCTTAAGGTAAGTTGGTTTTATCAACTGAGTTGATAATGGAATTGGCCAATTTACATTGTCGGCTCAGTTGACAAAACCAAATTACCTTGTTACCTCCACCTACTGTGCACCACAGTTTCTTTAAAAACTTTCCCCCGTTATTCTTTTGAAGGGTCGACTGTGGGATTGATTTAAAAGTGAAAAAGTTGACGTTTCCGGTTGCCTTACCCGGCATGTTTAAACTCAAAATCTAGTATTTTGTACAGGACAGTCCAGGATAGAGGAACCTGAATACTGAAGTTTTAAAATACAACTTGACAGTTTTAATCACACCCCAAGCACTCACCTTGAAGCTCTGATAAATGAGGGTTCAGGGGCAAAATAAGTCAAAAGAGAAATCCTAAATGGCTAACTCGTGTTGTAGAGTCTTTTGGTGGTTCACTCCACCCCAACCCACCCCACTAGGGAAATAAAGTTTCAAGTATTCTTACACCCCACCGAGTCCCCACAAACTGGGCTCTGGGCTACTAGCACAAGTATCACAATATTGCACTTACCACAATAGCCTGCCAGCGTCGTACTTCAACTGGAAAATGTCATGTTTTTGATAAGAAATTTCCAGTCACCATTTGACTTTTTTTTTCTTTTTCTTTTTTTTTACTTTTTGCACAATTTTTCTTTGATTTTCTTTATTTCAAGACATAATTTATCCATGGTTTTTGCCCATATAATTTTCTGATGCAATTTAAACATCTAATTTTTTCAATGTTCATGATGTTTATCTTTTAAATGCATCTGACAATTTCCCACAGAATTTCTTATTCATTTTGGAGACAGAATGACAACATACAATTTATAGCCAGTGGGTTATACTGGCTTTTTTTGTACAAGCAATTTTATTTAAGTTCAAGATTATATGAATGTTAAACAAACCCACTCAATCAATCAATCAATCAAAGGGTTGCAGATCTTCTTAGATCCATGTTTCTAAGTCTATTTTTGAATAATACTTGAATTTTATTAACTAAGTTCAAAAGAATGGAGACATTAAAAGGTAAAATTTGAATTTGAAAACAAAATTGACCAAGGCTCATACACTTTGCAAAGAACTACGAATGTTTACATGGAACACTGCAGATTTTGTAACACCATTTCCTCTTTCACTCTAGCAATTCAAGATCAAAAAGCATGGTTAATTCCTCAAGTTTTGAACGTATTCAGATTACGAATGAATTTCTTCTTTTTGCTAAAAACAGAATGATATAGAGAATGTAACATCAGAAAAGCCTTCTCTCTTTATGTTTGATACAGCATCCAAATGAAAGAAATGATTGGGCTCCAAACAAAATGATGACACAATTGGATCAATTTGTCATAAATCTGGTGGGAGGAGTTGAATGGCTGCCAATCAGCAAATACAGGAGCACTTCACCATCCCTGTTGTGACCAGGAGTCTTGGTACCACTGTTGATCACCCTGGTCGCTGTAGTTGTAGTCACCACCCCACTCTTGCTGGGAGTCCTGCTGCCCATACTGATGATTGTAATCAATATACTGCCTCTTGGGTTCCGAGTAGCCACCAGCCGCACCTTGGTAACCGCCATCATCACCAAACTTGCGCTTCTGCGCACCATAGCCACCATCACCTCCACCTCTACCACCCCTTCCTCTAGGAGGACCACCGCGTCCACCCCTGCCTCCGCGACCAAAGCCACTGCCACCACGAGGTCCACCTCTACTTGGCCCACCTGGACCACCACGGGAACGTGACCCCCTAGGCCCACCTCTTGAGCCGCCTTGGCTGTAGTAGCCTCCTCTGCCACCTCCGCCATATCCATCATTTCCATATCCACTACCATACCCACTACCATACCCACCACCACCACCACCTCCATAGCTATCGTCATAGTAGCTGTCATAACTGCTTCCACTATCATAACCTCCATATTGGCCATACCCACCACTGTTATCATACCCTGGATCATATCCCCCTCGGCCACGACCTCGCCCTCTGGGTGCTCCACCTCGAGGTGCTCCACGAGGACTTTGCCCCATTCCAGGGCCTCCTCTTCGCCTACTGTCCTTGTTGGCTGGTTGTGGTTTTGCTAGGGACACACTTATTGAAATGTCATCCCACATCTGTTGGTCTAGTGCATTTATCGCATTCAGTGCATCTTCCCGTTCAGTGAAGTGGACAAAGGCATAATCTTTGAGCTTTTTAACTCTTTCTACAGTTCCAAACTGGCCAAACTCTTCTTGTAGTTTTTCCTCTGTGATGACAGGTGACAGGTTTCGAACATAAACCACCTTCACCTATACAAGAGATTGAGGTAGTTTAGAAGTCAGGGATGTTTCATCTATTTAACAGCTACAACAAACCGGCAACTGCTAAATGTACATTTGTATACCAGTAAATACAAATTGTGTCATCTTATTCCACCTAACAACTAATCTTATCTTTCACGTACATCTACTCTCAAAATATAAGGTTTGGAAAGACAACAACCCCAGTCCTGTCTTCCTGACATCATAATAGTATTGTAAGGTTAGCAAATTCCATATTTGTTCATATTTCTTAGCACAGGCTCATATTCAAAGTGGATGAAGTATTCAGTGGTTCATTTTTCTTCTACACAAACCCTAAAATTTTAATGATAAGACCTGAAGGGGAAGGAATGAGAGATTTTCTGCATATATTGGAGCATATGCAAAGCTCTCATGGTGCAGATAGCAATCACTTGAGTCTTCATAGTAAAAATTTAAAAGCCATGTGTATGTTGGGATGAATATATATCTACCAGGCTTTTGGTTTGATTTTTCATCCTTCTTATTCAAGTCAACGGGCTTTTCTAAAAACTGAATGACTTCTCCATGGATCCCTAAAACAATGCCTTAAACATGCTGGCTTGAAAGATGCAGAACAATTTTCATTTTTTCCTGGTCACAAGGGACTGCTGTGTTTAAGAACTAGAGCGAAAAGTTACTGATTTTCTATTTTAAAAAAGATTGCTTGGGATTATAAAAAAAAGGATTGTGACCCTGTTTCAAGACAAAATCTCTTTAACTTTGATTAATAAGTGGCCAAATTCATTTTTATATACTAACCTTTGCCATAACTTCATCATTGGGCTCTTCCTGTGGATCAGCCCACTCAACTTTGGCAACTGCCATTCCCCAGACGTAAACCTTACCACTCTGAAGACGTCGCTTTGCCAGTGCAGCTGCTTTGTGGCTTTCATATTCCAAGAATGCAAAGCCTCTGTTTTTGCCCTTTTGCTCTGAAGACAAGTAAACAATGACATCGGTCAAATCAGAGGTGACTCTTCCAAATTCCTCCAGTATTTCTTCCTTAGTCTTGCTCTTTGGGATGGATCCAACAAAGAGACGGTTGTTTGCTACTGATACACAGACTCCCAACTTCTTGCCAGGTCGAATTTCCTTGTTGTCAAGTTTCTTGACTGCACTCTGTGCTCCAGCTTTTGTTGCATATGTACAGAATCCATAGCCTCTATTAAGCCCAGATTCAGGGTCCATCATAAGACGGAAGTCGTAAATCTGACCACATTCTTCGAGAAGTGGGATTACTTCATCTTCAAAGCAGTCACGTGGGATCTTCCCGACAAAAACCTGACAGCAGCCTTTCTGTAGGACAATAATATTGCCAGTAAATCAGTTTTAGTTCACTTAAGTAATTAATTTGTCATAAGAAAGTTTGCAGAGAACACTCCTCCATTATGAGTTGTATGGATTCATTTGTTTGATTTGATCTTGTAATAATGGAGATCTGCAATTAGCACGTGTCCCACAAAAATAAATTATCCTACACGAAAGGTGACCATCTTTTAAAATAATTGATTTCACAACTATTCATGTAAGCCATTAAAGAAAACATCATGCAACCAAGCATTTAACAGGTTTACCCTTAAAATAGCCATATGTATTTTAAAATTACTCGTCCCTTCTTTAAGATATTTTTTCTTGGATGCATGTTCCAGTATAATCCCTCACTTCATAAGCTTTCAAAATAAACTAAGCTTTCTTATTAACTCACAAAAATTACATTATTTGTATGAATAAACCATTAGCATGTTTATACCTTGCATGAACATGTAATATATATATATATTAAAAACTGGATCATTGGATAATGCAATTCCCGACTTTTTATTGGCTTAGCCATTATGGTATATCAGCCAATATACCATAACCTAATATCTGTACATCGCAACATCCAGTTTCTTCTTACAAAATAAAAGTCGAGTAGAGTTGTCCAATATCTTAGGGGCGTTTTTTTTAATAAAACAATTATTCCACTCCCGCTTGTTGGATATGAGATGATTATAGCCAACTCGGCGCTACACGCCTCGTTGGCTATCTATCATCTCATATCCAACGCGCGCTCATGGCAATTGAAGTGGCATTTACCATTGATTCCAGAAAAGTGCTCTACAGTCAAGGAGTGATAATAGGGACTTTAAGATACCTCTATGGCTGTTTCAGAGGATGACTGACTGGAAGTAATTTTACATGTGTAGACTGTATTGCGCATGTCTGCACAACAGGTGTTGCCGTCCAGTTGTTGTCGAGGACTTCAGAATTGGAGTTTTGCCGTCCACAAGTGAACGTAAGTACATTTGATGAGCATTTCTTTTAAAATTCATTATTTTTCAATTGACAAGGCTGTCCTTACAGTTATTTCTTGTTTTGATACACAAAAGTTAAAAAATTGAAGTGTAAAATACCATCGCGAATGAGTGTTTGTTTGCTGTGCTTTGCAGTGATGGCAAATATGTCAACTAAACTTGGGATGAAATTGAATTTTCTGGCTTCTGTTTCCAGAATTATTTTGCTCACTCCATGTGTCATGTAAATTACTGCTATTCACCATAAATGTTCAGCCATAAGTGCCAATTTTTTTCAAATTGTGATTTTAAGTAAGGCAGCTTTAAATTAACTGGCTTATTAGCTTCGTACAGAAACAGGAACCCTTCGTTGGTCAGTAGCTTTTCTGCGTAAACAATAACAATCATATACAATGAATATATGAAGTTCATATACTTTGAACTGCGGTTGTAGATACGTATGATGCACGATCCTCGCAGTAGAGATCAGGTCTGATTTTCGCTATTGCATAAATAGCGCTCTCTACTGCGAGGATTGTGCATCATACGCAATAACAATCATTTCGCAAGTCTTTTTAAAAGATGCCATGATTTATGAACAGTGCTAGAAACTTCAGGTTCGCTGCCGTCCTCCGTTCAAACAACCCGCTCCTTAACGTAGAAAGTTTCCCGCCAAGAACATCAGTTTCGGCCCAGTCCTCCCCGTTTAATATTACCGTCCTCGAGGTCAGCCATCCAGGTATCTCAAAGTCCCTAATACTAGCATGAAGACTACTCAATATGAGTACATAAGAGCATACTTTCTTTGGTGCCTGCAAGTTGAAACCAGTTTGTTGCGTTTGTTAAGCGTCGCCATTTGGGGACTCAATATAATAAAATATTTCTCTTCAATACATAAATTGCATCTTTTGCTTAGATTTGAATATGCTCTGGCTTTTGCAAGGATCTTCCACAGGATTGCAAATTTTTCTTTCTTTTCTTTCAGTTCCCACAGGTACTTGCTTACTTTGGTTTCAACTTGTAGACACCAAAGAAAGTACACTCTTAAGATATAGTTGAATTGTAAATCAAACGACCACTCATAAGCGCGTGCATGTATTTTTTGTATACTTTTGCATTTTTTGAATTTTCAAATGCACCACCCTCACGTTAACAGTCGCGTGATCATACTTAACAATGCTTCAGTGTGTATGGAGATTAACTGATGAGTGGACCAACATTTGTTGGTCTACAAAACAGAACTGTATTAAAATCCATATGTACTCATATTGAGTAGTCTTCATACTAGTATATATATACATATA